TGCGGAGCCCGCCAGCCGCCCCGCTCCTCGCCGGGCCGCGCGGCAGGACCCGGCGCGCTCCCGCATCCCGATCCGTGCGCGGAGCTGGCGCTTTCCCGCCCGGGAGGAAGCTCAGCCTAAAGCCCCTTAACTCCTTTTGACAACAAATTAGTTTCAGATCAAGGGCTCCTGCTCTCTCTTAAAACATGGTCTTTGCTTCCCAATTATTCATCTTGCCAGGAGCTGTTGCTAACAAAAAAGCAAGTTTTTAATGGTTTGTATAACGTCTTGTTCACTCACGGCTTTCTTCATAGAAAATTCCCTTTGCGGCTCCGCGGTTGGGAACAAGATTCCTGTTGTGCTCCGGGCGCCACAGCCGGGTTTTGGGGACAAGGCCTGGGGAGCCGCACAGCACCCGTGTTCCTCACGTCTCAGCTCCAGGACGTCCCAAAGCGGAAACAAATCTCACAGAAAACCCATTTCCTCATCCGTGGAGGAGCCACAGATGAGTTTTATGCAAGTCAGGAAGCACGGGGACATTTTTCCCCTTAATTGTTTGCTGCTTGACTAGCTATCGATTACCTTTTTTGCAGAGTTGCTATTTGTTTTTCTTTGCAATATATTGGCTTCTTGGGGCTTTTAATCAACTATAATTGATTGCAATTACCACTAGCTTCTCCTAAGCCTGCCTGGCTTATTCCGTGCGCTCAGGACAGGGATCCGCTCGCTTGGCACGTGGTCCCGCTCACCTCCTTTCCCAGCAGAGAGGAAGCAGAAATCAAGGCATTTCTCCCTGGACATCCCAAGAGCTGTCTGCCCCCATCGGAGCACGAACGGCCATCCCTGCTCCTGGCTCTGCTCCGAGGGGAGCATCCAGGGCACCCGAACTCAGCTCCTTACCCCATCGATCCTTCAAGGACATGGGAATTTCAGCAGGTGCTTGGGCTGCAGCGAGGGCGGCGCTAGGGTGAGACTCAGTGCATTGAGACTGGCCCAGTGAATCCAGTGGAATCCAGCAGGGAATTGTTGCCCCGGCACAACGCCCGCTCCCATCACCTCCGAGTGCTGCTTCCTGCCCAGGAAAGCAGAGAGAACTCCCGGCCGTGCTCTCCCCGGGGCGGCCGGGCTCGCTCGGGACGCGCTTGCGGGTATCACCCGGCTGCCAGGGAGCCGCCTGTGACAGGGGGCGGTTTATGGTTATTTGGGCTGCAGCTTTAATTACGACCTTGCGGTTCTGTGATTCAGCTGGAGATCCGGCCGCTCCGGGGGACGCCGCGAGCAGGGGGCAGCCGGGACCCAGCGGCTTTGGAGCGCTGACACTTCCAGCCTGCAGGAACGGGGAGGCTCCGGGGCACGAGGAGGAGCCCCCGGCTCAACAAGGCCGCTCTCATCACAGCCCTGTCCCGTTTCCAGCTGCTTCCAAGGCCCCTCCTGCCTCTCCACAGGGATTTGAAGCCTATTGATGCTGATTGCTGCCAGCTGTGCTCCGTCGGGTGAAGGACAGAGCACGAAGCTGAGTGTGGAGCGCTTCCTGCAACATTGCCATTCCCCATGAAACACTGTGCATCTTCCCAGTGCTCCTGCATCCCACAGAAACCTGCTCGTTTAAGAGCAGAAACTCCCTGGGACGCCTCGAGCGTCCCGGCCCCAGCAGGGTCCGAGGTGATGCCGAGGGCGCTGGCACCGCTGCTGCACAGGGACCTTCCCAGTGGGATGAGGACCCAGCTCCCTTCTCAATCCCTCGTGTCCCGGTTCGCAGCGGCACTCGGGGCAGCGCCGGGCTCTGCTCTCCGGCCAGTGGCTGCCGTCACCTCCGCTCGCTCGCAGCCTCCGCTCATCCCCACCGTGCCCTGGATTCCCATTTCCCGTCATGTTCCGCGCCAACACTGGCTAATTGCAGCCTTTTGTCAATGGGTTTTCCCTTTGTTTCTCCCCTTTGCATTTCACCCCTTCACAAAGGGGCAAGGCAGGCGCTGATGAAGATGTTCTAATTGCAGAGATCTGCACTAGGGAGCAATGGAACAAACGAGTGCAAGGCAGGTGCCGGCAGCAAGCCTGGGCTGCCGGAGTCCTGCGTTGTTTATTTACAAACTCTTCCTGCTTGGATCCTGCTGGGAATACAGCTGTGCTTTCCTTGCCGTGCGGAGCAGATCGGGGGCTCCCCGGCCGCACGGGACGGGCTGAGGCTGCTCCATCCCGCCGGCTGCGCCCGTGCGGATGCGGTTTCTTCCTGGGGTTTTCTCCTGCTCTCGCGGATTCACTTTGCACCTCTGGTTCGTGACCGAGCGATCAGCAGCACCGAGTCCTGGGTCCTCGGGGCACCCGCTTCGCCGCAGGCACTTAACCTCAAACCGGAGAGAGGC